TATGTGGCAATGATTATATCTGTTAAAATAACAAAAACGAATCTCACTTTTAAATGCAAAGTTAACTTTACATTGCGCTATCTAAAACTTTACCATTAATCAAATATGAACTAAGACTGGTTCAATAGCAGTAGTAATCCACATTATAATTTTGTAAATAATCAGACAAAATCGTCTATTTGAAAATTCAGTAAGTCAGCAACATTATCCCCAGATAGAAACGTGTCTAGTAGTATAGATAGGGCTTAGCACCCTTGTAGCTGCTGTAGCGTTACACATGTCACATGTACAAATGCATGAAACATGTTGCAGCGTCCACCGCGCATCAAAGGAGCGACAAATCCTAGATAATTCCGAGTCTATTAACCGCATCGGTTTATGGTCCCACTAAAACCCAAACGCTCTACCACCTTCCGAGACGTGTGTCATAAAACATAATTGATTTACGTGCAAAATTTACGAGCCGGCAATTAATAATGCGGGCGCAGTTAATTATTTGTCAGTTATGGCATGCGTTTGTCGGAATATAGTTTAACTTATCGGTTTAGTACCTGCAATATTATTTCTAGTTACTGGCGACGATCAGCCGCTGAGTGGTTATCCAGTGTTTCAAATTTACGTCACAAGGTGGAGAAATCCTTTGGCCTATTGTTAAAGCGTTGCCATTGTACCTTCATCGTGTAGTTGTACGTTGAAAATCGCATAGATCTGAGCCACAGGTCATAGAAACACTTGTCCCACTAATTCTTGAGAATAAAAAAATCCACTATGCGGAATAGTGGATTTTATTCTGAGATTATTATCAATGCTGTTGTAAAAAGAAATGTTTCAACTAGACTAGAAAAAGTTGCTAAAGGTTGCAAAAACTTGCAAAAAGGTTTAGTCAATACTAATCACTCAATAACTACCGTGAATAATATTGATGACAAAAGTAGCAATGTTAGGGTGTAGTGTAGGTGAAAATATTTCATCCTTGGCTATTAAATAAACAAGAGGCTCCAAATTAACCACTTTATCTTTAATCCGAATAAATTAACCAAACCCTGAAACTTCGACTGCTCAGCAATTAAAACATGGCCAAGACGGTGCATTAATATTTGATAACACAATTAATTCTACAGGCTCGCTCTCGTGAAATTTTCAATTTCGTCCCGAGGAAAGTTTCACCTGATAAAAGTGGGATTAGGCAGTACAGAAGGGAGTCTTTCGATAAGTGGCTTGTAATTGCATCAGCTGCTCATAGCGGTGTAATTATAGCTCGGTTTGTTGTACCACTCAAAGTGGTATAGAGTTCAACTACTTTTAAGAATTTGAAAGTGCCGAAGAATAAAGTTAATATTATGATGCAAAACTTAGACGCAGATGTTTTAATATTTTTAGCATGCTGGCAAGTGAAAGCGGTGTATGTAATAATTAAAATTTCCGTATTCACCTTTCACTTTGGAAACAAATTCATACCACCCCCGAGAAATCCACTTAATATCCACTTTTACGACTAACGTTATTATTACTTAACTAACATTACGACAGACGAAATTGCAACTTTAGTTTCGAAGCTTGTAGCATAGTTTCAGACTGTTTAAATAATAATTTTGAATCTTTAACACCCAGTTTCCGAAAGCGCAATCAATTTTAATTTACGATAAATCTCTTGTCAAACGTTGTTTAACATGATCTGAGTTTCTAGAACGTCTGAAAACAACATTGATTTTGATTTGCAATAAGTCATTGATTAACGGACAATCAACAGAAGATCGAGTTTCTGAAAGCATTTTTCGGTGGTCAACGAGCTGTCAAAAGTTTTATTAAGTAATCTGTTAATTTGGATGATCAATCGTTGGTTAAAAATATATTTTATCAAAAATCTTAGTTTTTATTAAAAATAATCATAATTCCCTAATACGTCGTAAGGAAATTCATGTGTTATATTACCTGTTACATATCATGCGATTAGAAAAAATAAAAAATGCAATTCAAAAGTTAATAAATAATATGGATTTTTTCTTTTTATAATACTTACTTGTTTATTATAGATAAAAGTTCATTTTTTTCACGTTCTGTAAAGTATTTTTTTTTTGACATTTTGCATGTACTTAAATTTTATTATAGCTCGGATTTTTACGTTGGCAATCACACGGTGACAGGACTGGATAGTGACGTTATTTAAGTTTTGTTTAAAAAGGGACAGCTATACAATAGAAAGAGTTAGTTGAAGTAAAAGATTCATTATCATTGGTTATACAGTGATTAGCTAATTTTTCTTGAACAAACCTTCCAGAAACCCAAGGGAGTTTAACAAGAGATTAACAGCTGATCATTTTTGACATAGTGTTATGTGATTGCTGCTTTGATTGGCCTTTCGGAAACTGGGCATAACTCTATCACAATTTATAATCTTTTCGCTAATCTTCTTTTGCATCTTTATGCAAATGTCTTTACACAGAAGAAGAGCACCCGAAAATGGTGGTAGAGTGCCATATTCACACATTCCATGTTATATATATATTTAATGCCCACATTTATATAGAAGCCCGCAACCCTAAACCTGCGATTAGAGATTAGATATATTTGAAAATACTTCAATAAAGGCAGTGGTCAGGTGGACTTGAGTCTGCACTGAAGGTGTAGCGCAACCTACTGAAAAACCTTAGTGAAGTAAAGACCAAGCAAGCTTAAGTTGATAGTAACAAGGCAGCTTTGCTCCTCTGTTATCCCTAATAACAAACACATACGACTGTTACACATCTTGCTGTACACTTATGCCCAGTTTCCGAAAGGCCAATCAAAGCAGCAATCACATAACACTATGTCAAAAATGATCAGCTGTTAATCTCTTGTTAAACTCCCTTGGGTTTCTGGAAGGTTTGTTCAAGAAAAATTAGCTAATCACTGTATGACCAATGATAATGAATGAAATGAATGATTTACTTCAACTAACTCTTTCTATTGTATAGCTGTTCCTTTTTAAACAAAACTTAAATTAACGTCACTATCCAGTCCTGTCACCGTGTGATTGCCAACGTAAAAATCCGAGCTATAATAAAATTTAATTTATATAAATACATGCAAAATGTCAAGAAAAAACTTACAAAACGTGAAAAAAATGAACTTTTATCCATAATAAGTAAGTATTATAAAAAGAAAGAATCCATATTATTTATTAACTTGTAAATTGCATTTTCTATTTTTTCTAATCGCATGATATGTTCGCATAATAATAAATAATAAATAGGTAATAGACACATGAATTTCCCTACAACGTATTAGGGAATTATGTTTATTTTTAATAAAAACTATGAATTTTAGTAAAATATATTTTTAACCAACGATTGATCGTCCAAATTGACAGATTACTTAATAAAACTTTTGACAGCTCGTTGACCACCGAAAAACGCTTTCAGAAACTTGATTTTATGTTGATTGTCCGTTAATCAGTGACTAATTGAAAATCAAAATCAATGTTGTTTTCAGACGTTCTAGCAACTCAGATCATGTTAAACAACGTTTGACAAGAGATTTATCGTAAATTAAAATTGATTGCACTTTCGGAAACTGGGTGTTAGAGAATAGACAAGATGATATCTTTAATGAGAGTAATTTTACGGTAAAGATTTCTCCACTTTCTATGATCACCATTGCCTTTTCCTTTGTCGTCGAACATAAACTACCGCAAATACATTATTGTATTCCGAGATCCCCAGTTTTTATGCATGGAACACCTTAATCTCTATTCGAATAGTACCAATAGTAATCAACTTAAAGAACAATTTCACTTAAAAAAAAGTAAAATACTGTGAAAAGAAAATTAATACATTTTCTAGAGACCTAAAATGAATATCGATCTAATTTGGCGCGACTCAACCTCGTTGATAGACGCTCGCAAAGAGTACCACGTCGTCACAACATTCCTTACAACGAACAAATCTGATGACGTTTTTATTCGGCAATATCACGGCTCGCTCCGGTCCTGTCAACGGCATAATGAGAACGATTTTAATAAGCCGGCAGCTGTTGGGTGTTATTTCTAAAATGATAACAATCGCGCACGGATGCCACGGCGCAGGTTTGTTTTTGAATGCTCAAGTACCGGATGACGCGCTAGATTCTAGGTTTATTTAAACATGTTTGATTTTTTATATTAAAATTGACAATGACCGTTTTCAATTTGTTTCACACAAAAATTATCGTTACACACTTGTGTCTATTTCATGATGCCATAACTAATCACTCGTAGGGATTTCAAAAATCATCGCCAAAATTATGTCCCAACCTACCACTGGTTCACAAATGATTAGCGGAAGTTCACATAACGCACAGTGGCTAAGGCATCAGCTCCAGGGATGTTGGGATCGATTCCCACATGGAAGCAGTATTTGTGTCACTCGTTGTTAATGGTACCACGTCAGAAACTGTCACATAAACTGAACGATTATTAATTCCAGGGATCGTGGGATGCGCCAGCATATCAAAAGAACAAAAAACCTTCATTTTCACTTAAAGGGTATTACTTACTACAGTTTAAATTAGTGTACAAGTAGACGGTAACCAGTACAGAGTGCAGAGCGGAGTATCCTCCAAGCATATTTCATAGTTGGTGTAAAGTATCAGCCTATACATGCCCCACTGCTGGGCAAAGGCCTCCTCTGTACAGAGAGTATCAGGGCATAGTCCACCACGCGGCCCCACTGCGGATTAGCGGACTTCACATATCTTCGAAATATTTTTTTTATTATTATTTCGAAAATATGCAGGTTTCCTCACGATGTTTTCCTTCACCGCTGAGCACGTGATAATTCAGCACTTGAAATTAACAATTTCATTAGTGCCGGCACCGGGGATCGAACTCAGGTTGCTCGAGTATATTGAATTAAAGGCAAGCGCCCGTACACTGAGCTATCACGGGTCATAGTTGGTGTAACATCTATAATATAATATATATATATATATATAAATACTATAATAATCAGTGATAGGGTCACGCAACAGTCTTCGTTGTACGAATGGGCAGGACCATCCAGGTAAGTACCACGACATTCGCTAAGCTGTTGGCTCCGTCACCAAGGGTCATGGATTCGATTCCCACACGGGACAACTATTTGTGTGACCCACAGATAATTGTTTCGCATATGGGTGTTTGTCCAGGTGGAATTTTGTGTAACAAGTTGGTAGGGCCACGCAACAGTGTTCACTGTTGCACGAATGGGCAGGTCCGTCCGGGTTAGTACCATGACCTCACAGAAGACCAGCATGAAGTGGAAGTGTCATTCTTCTGCGTTTCGTCTTTTGAGTGACGTAGCCGGTGCCCAGTTTGTTGAAAGGCGACATCGCATCTGGAGCCTTGCGGGTGTAGCAAACGTCCACGGGCGACGGTTATCAGTTAACTTCACGGTTTTTGAGATAAGAAAAAATCAAATCGCTAATAGATCTTCGCTAGGCGGCCGTCACCAACCGACGCGCTGTTGGACGCCGAGATTACTTGCTAAATTAGCGCTCACCTTTGCGGACGATTCCTAGGCCATAAATCGTTGGCGGATAGCGCTGTCGTCGACGCCACCGCCTCGGCGTCGGCTGGCGCTGCCAGAGTGCCAAGCGATCCGCGGGCATTCCCCGACAGCGCAGCGCCGAGGTGCGAACGACACGTGTCCAATTAGATCTTCGTCGGACGCTTCTGGTAGACCTTTTGCATCGCGGAGCGGAGAGCTTCGTGGTGCACAAATTATGGGGGTCGGGGGGTCGACCCCATTCCGGGCCGGGGAGAAGTCCTAATTTCAGATGAAATTTGATAATGCCCTTCTTTTTATATATTTTTAAATTATGTATGTATATTCTTTGTAAGTATATATTTTTAAATTATATTAGAAAAGATAGGTATTTTTAAATTTTTAAATTAAGCTTTCATAGTGTTAAAATGTACACTTAAGATAAAATATTAAAATTTGTAGAAAAAAAGGAAAAAACTATATTAGTCCAACCCAAGTCGTCCTGATTTCTGCCCAGCCGATCGCCACACCGACGAAAATCTCAAAGTACTTTATCCACATGGTTTTCTAGCTAGGTGTCTGTCATCATCATAAAGCTGTCGGCAGTACTGAGACAACTACTGCAAACTGAAAAAGTCACGCGAATTATTACGTGCCAATCGAGAATTGTGGAAGCAGGTTACGTTGTTGAATCATTTAACGTCGGACGATAAAAACTTTATTTATCATCGAAAACATTTCTGTCCATCGACGAAACCATTAACGGAACACGAAAAAAAAAACAATCCTATCCGTTCTCATATTCGAAATTTAAAACAAAAACAGGGCGGACGGAATGAGATCTCTCAATGTTCGTAACAATGTAAACAAACCGTACCGTGGAACAGCGTTTTACTAACACCTCAATAGCGCAGGTGTGAATTCCTAGTACAAATAGAAAAATAATAAAATCTAATCAACGCGTCCATCGGGAGCGGAAAGCAAAATAAATAGATTTAGAACTAAAATAAACATGCAGCTATCGGCGTCCGGGGCTCGCTGCGGCTGTAAATTACCTGTTGGTCTTACTGAAACGTTTGCTGCGTTTGCGCTCGATCGACGCTAGCTAGGCGATCGCCACATTTTGATACTTACAATTATGTAACGGTGTTAAATGTAACTTAAATTTAATAAACAATAAATAACGAAATAAAAAAAAAATAATAAAATAATTGACGGTAGCCTGGGTTTACTGTGTCGTTAACGCCCCCTTTCTGAAACAGTGATATACATATATATATAACAGTGATATAATAGATGTCAACTAATCAGCTGTCAAATGGCTTTTTCAAATGTCCTTTGAGTTACCAAAAGGATGGTTAAACTCTTTGAATTAATCATTCTGATCATTATGAAGATCATTCTGATCGGAGACTAGAAGAAGACTAATAACATTTAGTTTTTGCTATTGTATTAATAAGATTTACTTTCTTCCACTGGCGAAATACCGAAGCCTTAAACAAGACCTACACAGAGTAGAAGCTGACCAAAATTATTCATACGAGCCCGTGGGATTCCATAATAGCTCGGAATAATTCTTCATTATATACAGCGAGTCGTTGCCATCGCGACAATAAATGAACACACGTCCAACGCTACTTGCCAATAATCATAAAAAAATATTAATGTTAAACAAGATCCATAATTAAAAAAAAATATTTTTCAAACAAACTAATTAAGTGAAAAAGAATCAAAAATTTGTAACATCCTATACAACTCGCGCCACAGCGTCGCATTACAAGCCTCTCCTTCTAACACTATCTTTTGTCTCTTTTAAATTCATTCAACCCATTCATATGCTTTGTGACCTTTACAAATAAACTTTACGTTACAGTTTTATACGTAAGGGTGTTCTAAAATTGTTTGTTTTGGAAAATTTAATAACTCTGTAAATATTGATGTTTAAAGAATGTAAATTTTTGATACAATTTTAAAAAGTTATCCTCTATATGTGTGTTCATTTATTGTCGCGTTGGTAACGACACGCTGTATACAGTCTTAACTTTGACTTTGAATCAGAGCCTTACATGTCTAGAGGATTATATGGGGGAACATAACATAAAAATATTGACAATTTTTGGAATTATACTAAAAATTAATTGAGATAAAATGGGTAAGGCTTTAAGTTATAGGACAGAAATATTTCTGTTGTGTAACGTCTGTTCCAAAAACAGTTGACACTTATTTGTAGTCAATAAAACATTTACACCTGTATACGGAGTGATCGTTTTTTGGTTTACTCCTAAATTTCCTTTAAGATGTTGTAACGAATCGTATTATTAAAAATACGATTCATTACAACATCTTAAATGTAAAATGTTATTTGAGTAAATTAATATATTTAACGCATTTAAGGAGTAAGTTGGATTAAAAAATTACTGGCTGGTGAGTGCCGACAGAAGTGAAAACTTTGGCGTTAAACACGGTTTTTTGATAAATGAAATAATATAAATAAACAATTTTTATTCGAAGTTATTCATGTATCTCGTAAATACCGCATCAATTGTACTTTTATATCTCGTTGTGTGTATTTGACATGGTAAAATCAAATTTTCTATTCAAAAATTCTATTAAGCACACACTATAGCTGCGTCTCGTAACGGTGTCGCGAGTCCAGAGATTTTTATCTCATCTAAAAATATGCGTACCGCGCTAAAAGAAGTTTTCACTTCAAAAACATCATTACATTCGGCTTTGCATTTCCGGTACAATAGCTTATGCTATGACATTATTCTGTTAAAAATACGGTGATACCGTACAATACTTACAGAGGTCTCATCTAGAGCCTTTCACCTCCACCCACGCCCGAAGATCTCAAGTATCAAAATCGGCCGGTCGCAGTACAAACGTAAACCCTATCAGGCCATGTGTTTCTCGTTGTTGCGCGCGCGCCGCAATTCGACCGCGATCACCGCTACATACCTGCGAACGTATTTTTATATCGACTATTTCTAAAACATTTAACACACGCGCAGCCCGAATAACGAATTTATTCTTCGTCAGATTTTCATTAGTCTCCTTCGGAGTTTCGCATTACCTCAAACATTACGAGCAACTAAAACAATTTGATAAACAGAAGTTGTACGTTTTTTCGAACACAATTGACCTGTTTGAGAATTTTCAGTTGGGTTGTCACATGACTCATTATATTTATAACGTTGGGAGTTGTCATCATGCATGATGCATTTTTTCCCAAAGATCTCTTTTATCGACAGTCCACACTTCGTATTTTCCATAAAGTATTTACGGTACTTGTTCTTGTATCATTTGTATGTCTTGTAGCTACTGCTTAAATCGAATGCTAAATATGCTAAGATCACAAAGCCCCATATTAAATTCTTTACTTTTTAATGCAACGGCTTCGGATAATGTGAGTGACCCAGTCCATTTAACTTTTACAGTAAGTAGTTAAATAATTTACAAGTGCAGCGTTTATAAATGTTAGTTTCGAATAATGCTACAGACATTAGCATTATTCGAAACTAAACTTACTAACTTACAAACTTACTTAACACTTTATCTTCCATTTTTTCTACTAATTTTAATGCAAGTTCCGATTAAAAAATAAGTCATAAAAGTTGTGTCATCTAACAATCTAGATTAATCGCAACAACAAAAATATATGTTATCTGGATAATGTGTTTACATATTATATGGTATAACACATAACAGGTCATATGTATTTTTGTTACATATATGAAATAAATAAATGAATAAATATCTCAATCTCGAGATAATATAAAAAAGTAGAACAGTTTTATCGCCTCCGTAATGTGTGATCCTATTCAAGATCAGCAATTACGTGTATACGTTTACAGTAGAAATAGTTACACCATTCATCAATCTTCACTGGCTAATTGTTCGCCCTTACAATGTTGCATACATTACAAATGACATCGTTAAGTAGAAAGACGAACCAAGGCGATCGATTAGACTTTTATTGCAGCAAAATAACAAAACTTACTATTTATGGGTTATTAAGTTTTTTTAGCCCAATGGACTGTGACCATACTACAACTATGGTCGTTGGTGCATTCGCTAAGCTGTTGGCTCCGTCACCGAGGGTTATAGGTTCGATTCCCACACGGGGTAACTATTTGTGTGATAATTGTTTCGCATCTGGGTTTTGTCCGCGTGAAATTTATGTTTGTAAAACGTGCTTACAATGCACGATAATGTTATCTTATATTAAGGGCAATGTTTTTAAAAATAAGAAAATAAAAAAAACGTTAACAGCCTCGCGATCATCGTTAGGAGGAATAGGTGTTTTGTGAGCATTTGTGGTTTATATAATCTAATATATTGGCTGGCGCTCTAAAACTTGATATTAAAAAGGAGACTTCTTCAACAGTCGGTGGTTCATCTAAGAATCTAAGCAATGTGTTTTTTTACTCGGGTTTTATTGGGATTTTTTGAATGTGTGTTTATAGAAATAAATGCAAGAAGGAATACTTTTATGGTACATGTAGTGATCGCAAGTTAACAAAAGGAACTAACTATGAGTATCTGTGGTTCACTGGCTCACTACTACACACAGCTCCGAGCGTAGGCGCACGTCTTTACCGTACCGCGTCTAATGCTAGACTGACAGACTGTCGCTACCCCCTCTACTGGTGTACATGAGACAATGTATTATATCTATTAAATAGATACAAACATTACATCCCTTCCTTTTTAACTATAATGATCGTTATTAAATAATCATGCTTAATTTTTTGATTCATTTCTAAACAATGAACTTTGATCTGAATATTTTTATGTAGTATTAATTTTCTTCGATTGTCTGATCTCCATTTCCATTAGTCTCGTCTTCTACTGTTTTCCATTGTCCTTCCACGCGCTTGAGATGAATCACATTCCTTCGTAGTCGTTGTCCAGTTTCTTCGTTTCTTATAGTTACATCCCCTCCTAATGATTTTGCCACTATGTGTGGTGTCGGGTTAAAATTAGTTGAGAGCTTATTAGTCTTTTCCATTTCTTTTACGTACACCTTCTCACCTTCTGTTAGATCTGGGCTTTCCGCTTTTCTTTTCCGGTCTCCCATACTCTTACCCTTTTCTTTTCGTAACTTGTCTCGGTCTCTAACTTCCATGTCATTTCCCGAATCACTTACATTTTTTAACATGGGAATTTTATCCCTGTTCATTCTTTTGAAAAAAAGTTCTGAAGGCGTTTTTCCCGTAACTGAATGTGGTGTGGAGTTGTACATCATAAGGTACTCATATAGTGTGTCTCTCATGTCTC